CTAGCTGTGTCGTTCGTTCCTACGTGAAGGATGATCAAAGGGTTCTTACCTGCTCCTTTTAGGATCCTTTTCAACCGCAGGTCCACATCCCTTATCTTAGCGCCCGGCAGACAGCACACCCTTCTGTTTTCAGGGTCCGCTCTGGTCACAGGCCTGTCCAACCTCCTCAGCAAGGAGTCTCCAATCACATAAACCTGCCTTTGCCTGGTGACAGTACTCTGTACAAATCTATCCCCTGTTCCCTGTAGTCGTACCTCTTGTGTCTCTCTATTTTCCCTTATAGTCCCCCTAGTGTCATCCTCTATCCTACTGGGGCCCGGTATTGGTGCTGTCTCCATCAACTCCTGCCCTCTCTCTATCGGACTAGCCGCTCTTCTCTTCTTCCTCTGCCTCCCAGCATCAGTTACCACCTGCTGCCTCTCTTCCTCGTTATCCAAACACTCAAACCTGTTCCTGAGTTCTATACCCCCCTCACTAGCCCTCCTTTTCCTTGGCCTGCTCCTCACAGTCACATGCTTCCACTGATCTTGCTCTGCCCCTGACATTCCCCCCTCACAGACCATAGCCTGTGCTTCCTCCTGCACCCCAGAGCATTCCCCTTCTGCCACACCCAGCTTCTGCTCCATTAGCTGCTCGAATCCCCTTCTAAACTCTACCATAGTATCTACCTGCATCTGGAGCCCTCTAATCTTTTCCTCTAGCAGGTCTATTAGGCGACATTTCATGCAAACATACCTTTGTTCAGGCTCCCCAGCGAGGACCATGTACATACCACAGCTGCTGCATGCAATCATCTGCATAGTGTCCCCTGCTGCTTGGCTCATGGCTGCTGTGGTCGCTGCCTGCTGCTCCTGGGACAACAGAGCACACCGCGCGCCGCGCCCTCCTGCCTCCCCTTCCACCTCCTGCCTCCCGAAAGCCAACACAGCCTGGAAAATTGACGCTACAATTAAACTGCCCCAGAAATGCCCAGATCCAGTGGCCCAAGTGGGGCTTGTCCTGGGGCTCTGCTGCAGGGTGGGAGGAGGGCTGGGAGTCAGGATGCCTGGGTTCTCGTGGGTTTCCCCAGCTCATGGAGGAGGGTGAATGCTGCCTGGTGTGTGAGTGTTATACCAAAAAAAACTAGCAGGATCTTATTAAAGGGGACAAGATAAAGATGCCACATTTATTATGATAACAATTTGATATATGACCAATAACTAATATCTTAATCCTAATACACACACATTATACCTAATACCTATACACACACACATCCATCAGATGTTCTGCAGCTGCTGCATAGTTACCAGTCCTGCTTGAGTCTGTGGCTTGAGTTTGCAGCTTGGGTTCGTGGCTCGTGGCGGTAACTGGCCAGGAAAGCCAGGCACAAAGACGAGCTGGGTCTCTGTTGGGCATGCACCGATGCCCTTCCATGTTGGCAGCAGAATGTAACCCTCCTCCAAAGTTTTCCATCTCACCCATCCTTTTTGTAGGCTTTAGTTTGAATCCAGAGTCTATAGGTCTTGCTGTGTCACGCTGCCTCTGGGTTTGGTGATTGATCACCCGTCAATTGCAGACATGACTTTCAGCCTCAGACCGGGCTTTGATCTTCCTTCTATTGTCCCTTTTCTTTTTAGGGTGGATTCTTCTTACTAGTTAGGGCTCTTGTCTGCATCTTCAGCCATTGGTGTTTGAACTCTATTTAATCAGGACAGGCTGGGGCTGGAGGTTGATTCCATCATCCATACATACCTCATTCACACATCTAAACTAAACTAATAAGATTACAGCAGGGTTTGCAAAAATGAAGGTTGCAGCAAGCCCTTACAAAATGGAGTAAGCGTTTTAAAATGGTGTTTGAATTACAATATGGCAAACAGTGAACAGAAGTTACAATATAGACAAGTATAATGGATGGCAAACAGTGAACAGAAGTTACACTGTAGGCAAGTGTAATAAATGGTGAACAGAAGTTACAATACTGAAACAGCGCAAGTCTCAATGATTTAAGCAGGAATTGGATTGATAGTGAAACTTACAAAGGCAGCTGACTGAACAGCTATGGCTCTTAACAAGCATCTTAATTATTAATTAGCCAGTTATTGGGGTAACCGGTTTTATGAATGAATATTGTTTCATTCATAAAACTTTACTTATAAAGTTACATTAATAAAGTGAACAATTAAAAACAATTTTATTCATCAATAAAGTAAACAATTAAAAACAATTTTATTCATCAGTTTTACCTGGGGCGTGAGCGATGGACTCTTATCGAGATCCGGGTTGCGGCAGTGTGGAGGGGACTGTGGACTGCAGGGATCTCGGCCTTGCTCAGTTACAATAGTCCTTGGAGCTGTTATAATAGTCGCTGGCGTCATCTGAGGGGCAGGGAATCTCCCCGGCACATGGGATTTCCTGCCGGGAACACAGGAAGAGAGATAGATTGTGTGAAAGAGGGGACACTCTCCCAGCAGGAGACCTGTGTGTGATGTCTGCCTGTACCTGCAATAATGGGGGCGGGGCGGAGGAGTGGGATTCAGGACTCCTGGGTTCTCTCCCCAGCTCTGGGAGGAGAGTGGGGTCTGGTGGTTGGGAGCAGGGGGAGCGGCTGGAAGCCAGGGCTCTTAGATTCTATCCCCAGCATCCCCGACTGTATTTGGGGAGGGATCTCCCAGCCTCCTGTGCCAGGGCAGGACCTGGCTATTGGATGTGAAGGAGAATCTCCCGTGAGCCATTAGCAGGACGGGGTTTATGACACATGCTCAGGTAGTGCTGATTCTGTCCAGCTGGAGTCAGGGGTACACCCTGGGGGGGGGGGACAGGCTGCAGCTGCCTACTCAACTCCAGCCAGTATGTGGGGGCAGTGGGGACCCAGGGGTTCAGGGCCGGCGCTTCCATTTAGGCGACCTAGGCGGTCGCCTAGGGCACCAGGATTTGGGGGGGCAGCATTTCGGCGGCAGGGGGTCCTTCCGCGCTCTGGGTCTTTGGCGGCAATTCTGCGGTGGGTCCTTCACTCGCTCCGGGATCCGTCGCCGAAGTGCCCCGAAGACCAGGAGCGCGGAAGGACCCCCCCCCCCCCAGTGGGTTGATTTCCTTCACGCGCCCACACTCCAGGTTTTCCACAATGCAGCCAGAGCAGCCCCTTTTCCTGCCCCTCCCCCAATTCCAACCCGGGGGGTCCCTTACCCTGCTGACTCCCCCCCAGTTCTTTCCGTTGGCGGATTCTCCTGGCCAGACAATAAACCCCGAGGTTGCTCAGGAGAAAGAGCAGCAGGACCCCTGCTCCGAAGCCTGCCATTGGGCCAGGGCTCAGCTGGTACCAGTCACTGCCGTCTGTGGGGCAGGGATGGAGAATAGGGTCATTAGCTCCAGTGTCATGCAGGGTGCAGTGGGGCAGGCACAGGGGAGATGGGGAGGTGGGAGCTGGTTGAGGGGGCAGCATAGTCCTAGGGGGGACAATGAAGGCCAGTCTCAGAGGAGGGGGCAGGAAGGAAGCTGGGTTTTTAACCAGGAGAATTTTCCTCCTGAGTGTTTATTGGACATTGGAGTTTCTTCCAGGTTCATAAAACCTCCAATCTCCTCTTATTACAATAGCACCTAGAAGCCTCCGCTGAGATCAGGGCCCCATTGTGCCGGGCGCTGCCCAGACACACAACCAGAGACAGTCCCTGCTGAGATCACAGACTCAGAGCGAGAGACAGACCCTGCCCCAAGTGAGACCAGAGCCCCCTGGTGCGGGCAGCTGCACAGGCCAATGGAAGAAAAAATGTGAATGATCACAAAAATGTGTGTATTTCTGTTTTGCTGGGTACAAAATGGAGCTGTTTCCCCCACTTTTGCCCCAAAAAGTTTTGGGAATTTGGTATTTGAAACTTTTGCTAAACTGTGAATCAAACATTCCCTCCAAATTTTCATCCATTGTTTTATCTGCATTTTGATCAAAGATGGTTCTGTTCAGCCGTCATAATTGTCTGTTTCCCAAAAACCTAAACAATTTTGTTTGCCAATCTCCCCCCACACACACTATTTTCTGTTTAAAAGTTTATTTAACTTTAATTGATTATAATTTTCAACAATTGCCCCATGGGTGGCGGGTATTATAGGACGGGGAAGGCTGTGCCTCCCCAAGCAGCCAGGCGTGGCCCCACCCACACTCCGCCCCCAGACTCCCTCCTGCCTGCTTCCAGTTCCCTTCCCACTCTTCCGTGGCTGAGAGGCTGGGGCAGGCATGCTGGGGCCTGTGCTCGTGAGGCCTGGGGCTGGGGCCGCTGGGGCTGGGGCCATGCAATGCTGCCCGGCGCCGGGGTTGGGGGCACTCTGGGACTGGAGGTGTATGGGGGGAGCCGGCGGCCACAGGTGGCGGGCAGGGACACACACAGACACAGAGCAGGGCTCAGCTCCTCCAGCAGGGGGCAGCAGGAACACACCCACCCGGGCTCTGGGCTCTGGGCTCCGGGCTCCAGCAGGGAAGGGGAGGCAGAAGGGGAGGGGGCGTTCTCGGGCAGCGAGGACTAGGTGGCCGGGGACTAGGCTCCCCCAACAGCTCATTCACCCACCGCCCATGAATTGCTCTTTGAAAACACTGTAGGTAAAAATGGAGGTGAAAAATGTAATGAAAAGTCCGGCAAAGAGCTAATTTTGAAGGGGGCAAACCAGATATTTTTCCTGATGATTAAAAAATATTAAATTTCAACTAAATGTACGTTATTTGAACGGGTGTTTCTTGGCCTGTGACAGGTTGATTTGCAATGTCATTCGGCCGCTAGATGGCTCTGTGGACAGAGATACTGGAGCCTGGTCAACAAAGCGGACCCAGCTGGAGCACGAGCTGGGAGCTTGTTTATTTTGGTTGGCCTTGCAGAAGGACTGTGCGGGGTTCAGCCATGGTGCATGGGGGACTATAAGCCATTCCCTGGCTATGTAATGTGTAATGTGGAGTCAAATGCACCCAGTACTTACACACAACAGTGATGGTGAGTGGCAGGGAGGTGGATTTCCCTAGGATGTTGTGCACCTCACACTGATAGTCTCCCCCATCAGCCACCTGGACACCCGGGAAAGCCAGTTCCGCCTGTGCCCACCCCAGCCGCTTGCCATTCTTGTACCAGGAGAAGTCCAATCCGCTATAGGCGCTGGTGTCCAGCCGGCACGTCAGGGACAGGGGTTCCCCGGTCCTGCGATGAGGGCCTGGCGTGGCCACCACATGCACCACAGGGGGGACTGCAGAGGAAGCGGAATGAGATATGACCTAATGACGCTCCCGTGGGACGGCAGCTGGGGGCTTAGGCGCAGCATGGCGTGGGGCGGAGGGGCTCCATGGCTCCGCCCCCAGTGCTTTAGCCCCACTCCCATATCCAAGTGGTAGCGAAAGGAGGGCCCCTGCCCCCTCCCATTTGTGAACCTGGTTCCACCCCCATGGCTGTGGCCCTGCCCCCAACGCCCCCATGGCTGTGGTCCCGCCCCCATTTGGAATGTAGGTGAGACAAGGACCCCTCCCATCTGTTCTCCTTGGCCCCACCCCCAGGGCTGTGGCCCCGCCCTGGCACTGGCTACTTACCAAGGATGGCCACATAGGTGGTGGGGGATATAGCCAGGTAGGCATGCCCTATGTCGGAGACCCACTTCATGCAGGTGTAATTGCCCCCGTGAGACAAGGTTGCCCCTTCAATCTGCTGAGAGGGGCCCATGGGCAGGTCCTCGTAGTTGTGAATCCAGAAGTAGACCTGGTCCAGCGACCCGCTGTCCTCCACGCATCTCAGCGTGAACGAGTCGCCCTCCCTGATTGGGCCTGGGACGTCCGTGTCCACCAGGACCTTCAGGCGGGGGGGCCGGCCTGAAAAGGCCATTGGAGATGGGTCAGACCCAACGCCCCCTAGAGGGGAAAGGCCCCGTGCCCCATTCCCTGCCCCTCTGAGCCAGCCAGTCCCGCACCCTGGGGCCGGATGGGAGCTGGGGCCCCCTAGAGGGGAAAGGTCCCATATCCCATTCCCCACCCCCAGCACCAGCCAGACCCCTGCCCTCAGACCTGATTAGAGTCAGTGCCTGCTAGAGGGGAAAGGCCCCCTGCCCCATTCCCTGCCCCTCAGCCAGCCCCTGCCCTGGGGCCTGATGGGAGCTGCCGCCCCCTAGAAAGGGAAGGCCCCATACATAATGTTACTCACCTGTGGCTGGGGGCTGGGGCCCTTTGGGGAGGCACCTATTCCGGTAGCCCCGCACCCGGCACTCCAGCGCCGCCCCCCGGTGCTGCCAGATGATGCGCATGCTCAGCCTGCTATTGCTTTTGCCAGCTTCAGTTTCCTCCAGGATCCGCGCGCCGGCTCCGTCGTACCAATGCAGGCCGGAGGAGGCGCAGCGCTCGGAGATGGAGCAGACCAAGTCGCCGTTCAGGGCTCCGGGGACCCTACCAATGCTATATTTGACCCTGCAGGGATGTTCTGTGTAGGGTGGGTGAGGGGGGAGCCAGTCACTGCTGGGGGCACAGCCATGGGCACAGCCACCTCCAGTCACCAGCCACTGCCCCTTCTTTGAGAGCGTCCTCAAGACCAGGTGAGGGTGTGACCTGTACCAGGCTCCCCTCCCAGAGCTGGGAGAGAACCCAGGAGTCCTGGCTCCCAGCTCCCCCTGCTGTGACCACTAGATCCCACTCCCCTCCCACAGCTGGGAGAGAACCCGGGAGTCCTGGCTCCCAGCCTCCCCTGCTGTGACCACTGGATCCCACTCCCCTCCCAGAGCTGGGAGAGAACCCAGGAGTCCTGACTCCAGTTTAGGCTTCCTCTAACCATCAGACTCCACCGTTTCTTCACAGCTTTGCAGAATGTGGTCATTTGATTTGAGTGAAATGTTATGAGAGGTGTACAGCAACCGTCCTTGGGGATGGCTCGATGGGCGCTGAGGTGCAGCCACCTCTGGGGCAGGGCATCTGGGGAGCAGCCACACATAATGCCGCACGGGGCCAGGCTGGGTTGTTGGTGAAACATTTCTGCAAGAGGAGCTGGGGATTACCTGACACCGTGAGGCACACGGCTCGGGGGCTTCTCCAGCTTTGGCTCTGGGTCTGGAACTCAAAGGAGTAGGCGCCCCCGTCGCCGAGCGCCAGCGGGTTGAGGCGCAGGGTGCAGTTGTGGTGCAGGTCACCCAGGAACTGGGCGCGCTCGGCCTTGTCATAGCCCTGCCCTGCTGCTGTGGTGAGCTGCACAATTCTCTCCTTGTCCCGGCTCCAGGTCACGGCTCTGACGGGCTGCCCCTCGGGGTAGGTGTAAGAGCAAGGAATCGTCACGCATGAGCCACTCCATCCGGTCAGGGGGCCTGCGGGCAGGGTCACCCCCCAGCTCTGGCAGCCGGCACCTGGAGGGGAAGCAGCACCCTGCTATCTGCAGCACCTTGCCCCCTAGTCCTGCCCTGGGGCATCGGGGCTAGCCCTGCCTGCCAGAGGAGAGCCCCCACCCCACTCGCTGCAGCACAACGACCCCTAGTCCTGCCCTGGGGCATCGGGGCCAGCCCTGACTGCCAGAGGAGAGCCCCTGCCCCACTCGCTGCAGCACAGCGCCCCCTAGTCCTGCCCTGGGGCATCGGGGC